TGGAGATTTTTGCAGTATCCTTCCCCTGGAATGAAGAGGGAATGGGGATTTTACAGTATCCTTCCCCTGGAGTGAAGAGGGAATGGGGATTTTACAGTATCCTTCCCCTGGAATGAAGAGGGAATGGGGATTTTACAGTATCCTTCCCCTGGAGTGAAGAGGGAATGGAGATTTTACAGTATCCTTCCCCTGGAGTGAAGAGGGAATGGGGATTTTACAGTATCCTTCCCCTGGAATGAAGAGGGAATGGAGATTTTACAGTATCCTTCCCCTGGAGTAAAGATGGAATGAAGATTTTGCAGTATCCTTCCCCTGGAGTGAAGAGGGAATGGGGATTTTACAGTATCCTTCCCCTGGAATGAAGAGGGAATGGAGATTTTACAGTATCCTTCCCCTGGAGTGAAGAGGGAATGGAGATTTTGCAGTATCCTTCCCCTGGAGTGAAGAGGGAATGGGGATTTTACAGTATCCTTCCCCTGGAGTGAAGAGGGAATGGAGATTTTGCAGTATCCTTCCCCTGGAGTGAAGAGGGAATGGGGATTTCGCAGTATCCTTCCCCTACCAAGCCACGCCTACAGAACCGGTAGTTAAAAAAAGTTGAATTTCACCACTGCTCTGCACGGACTCGCGGTGGGAAAGTCAGCAAAAATGGCAGAAGGTCAAGGTTCCCTTTTGTGAGGATGAAGGCAAACGCCAGCCCTTCGGGGTAGGCCAGCCGATGGAATTCTCCAGTAAGGATCCGTGAACTGAAAGTGTGCTGCATTGTCTACTTTTGAAGGACTACAAGGCCAATGGGGGGGGGGAGGGAAGATGTCCGCAGCATCTCTCGCCCATCGTTGACTTCCCCAGAGTTGAGCAGAAGTCCTCCATCTCCCCCCCACCCCCCGGCTTCAACGGGGATCCTTACCTTCGAAGTGGAAGTGGAAGGTCCCTGGGTTGGCTGGAGAAGGGCTCTGGAACCTCACCAGCACCTGGTTGGTGGGGCCACGGACCACTTGACCACGCACCAGGAAGGACTCGTTGGCCAGCGGGAGGGGCTCCAGGCCTCCGAGGGTCTCCACGGTGATTGTCTCGCCCACCGCAAGGCTGATGTTTTGCACCTGCAAAGGGGGAGGGGAGTAAGAGACGAAGTGTCGTGGGGCACCGGCTCCTACTTTGGGGCTGGCAAGGGGGCAGGCGGTGGGACCGGGCAGGTAACAGCACGGACTCCCATTCCCCATTTTCTGCCCTTGGAAAAATTCTGTAGTTAGTCCTCGATTTACGACCATACCAGATCTAGCGTGTCAAGAAGGTCAACAGAGGTAGAACAGAGGTACAAGCCGTGTAATATGTGGCTGTATTATTATTATCCTTCCCATCTGTCCCACCCCCTGCTTTTATTGGTATCATTATTATGATTATTACTTTGCTATTTTCCATGTATTATACTGAGAACTTTTGTACCACACTTGGCCACAAAAGCATTCTGTTCTGTTCTGTTCTGTTCCGTTCATATTCTGTTGTTCTATTCTGTCCTGTCCTGTCCTCCCGTCTCCCTCCTCCTCCTGTTCTATTCTGTTCTGTTCCTATTCTGTTCTATTCTGTCCTGTCCTGCTGTCTCCCTCCTCGTCCTCCTGTTCTATTGTGTTCTGTTGTTCTATTCTGTTCCTATTCGGTTCTGTTTCTATTCTGTTCTATTCTGTCCTGTCCTCCCCTCTCCTTCCTCCTCCTCCTGTTCTATTCTATTCTGTCCTGTCCTCCCCTCTCCTCCCTCCTCCTCCTGTTCTATTTTATTCTGTTCTCCTGTTCTATTCTGTTCTGTTCCTATTCTGTTCTATTCTGTCCTGCTCCCCCGTCTCCCTCCTCCTTGTCCTTCTGTTCTATTATGTTCTGTTGTTCTATTCTGTTGTGTTCCTATTCTGTTCTATTCTGTCCTGTCCTCCCCTCTCCTCCCTCCTCCTCCTGTTCTATTTTATTCTGTTCTCCTGTTCTATTCTGTTCTGTTCCTATTCTGTTCTATTCTGTCCTGCTCCCCCGTCTCCCTCCTCCTTGTCCTTCTGTTCTATTATGTTCTGTTGTTCTATTCTGTTGTGTTCCTATTCTGTTCTATTCTGTCCTGTCCTCCCCTCTCCCTCCTCCTCCTCCTGTTCTATTCTGTTCTGTTCTTCTGTTGTTCTATTCTGCTCTGTTCCTATTCTGTTCTATTGTGTCCTGTCCTGTCCTCCCTTCTCACTCCTCCTCCTGTTCTATTCTGTTCTGTTCTTCTGTTGTTCTATTCTGCTCTGTTCCTATTCTGTTCTATTGTGTCCTGTCCTGTCCTCCCTTCTCACTCCTCCTCCTGTTCTATTCTGTTCTG